AAAAAAATATATATATATATATATATATATATATATATAAGCAAAGCAGCAAATGCATGAATCTACAGTACCATGAACTTTCAGTTGTGTTTAATACTGCAAGGTAAGTACATGCACAAACTGCATGTATAAATGTACCTGCAGCTGTAAGTTTGTGTGTGTAATTTCCTCTGCCTTCCTCTCCAGCGACATCACCCAGACCTTTCTCTTCTGTCTGCACCGCGTGGCGGCAGCTCTGTTTCTCTCCAGAAACTTCTGTCTGCGCTCATCTGGGTCTTCCTCTGCTGTCCGCCGGCGTCTGGCCATGGATGGCAGTGGAGGAGATTGTGGGCAGGGGGTCTGTTTTGGTGTGGACGACATCTATAAAACACAAACATTATGTTCAATATTACAAAAGATTAATTAGAAACTATAAAAATCAGAGTTTGACCTAGACCTGTGTTGGTATCGGCTGATGTGAAAGGGGAGGGGTGGTCTGGTGGGTGGGGCCAGGATGCAAATGAGCAGGTGGAGAATGGTGAGCGTGGCTGTGATGTGATTGGTCTTGGCTTTGATGTTGATGTGCGAGTCTTTGCGGTGATTGGCTGTGGCAGTGCTGCTGGTATGCGTGATGATGAGATGCGGATTGTAAATGTGACAATGGGTGCTGCTGTGACGACATCATCTCCATCATGTGGCAAAGAGGATTCTGACTGCCATTGGAAACCGCAGGTTGGCTGTGGGCTGGCATGACCTTTGACCTCTGAAGGATTAGAGATGGGGAGAGATGGGTCAGAATGGTTCCTGGGGTCACTGTCAACATCATTGTCATGTAACACTGTGGATATTTCATGCTATTTCAAAAGGAAATGCCCAAAGTGAGATTTGCTTTGCCAACTTCTACAGGAAACCATGTGTTTTTAATTTCTGCATCTAAGGTTTCCTGTGTGTGGTGATTGTTTGCGATGGTTAGATTACTTGGCACTTTTAAGTTTTTCAAAACACAGAGAATCTACAAAGATGCCTTTGAAAAGTCAGATGATAACCAGGTCAAGCCGAAGCCTTTGAAATTCAATCCCCTCCACTTTCTGAAGAGAATCAGCGCATGTGTGTGTGTGTGTGTGTGTTAATGCCGCTTTTTTATCAGGCAACATTGCATGTGTCTGAATTAGATAACTCAATCAAGATGTCTGCATTAGTTACAAAGCACTGTGGCATTATAACCCCTGTCTGACTTGTAATGTTTCTATAGAGACATCATAATCCTGTAGCCATGGAGTCAAATCATTAGTATAGGGCTGTACCTGAAGGGAGGAGCATGAGCCAGAGGGGGCGGGGCCTGGTATGCCAATCATACTAGAGTTCATTGACAACTGTGCCTCCATCTGTCATTTTAATAAGATATGAAATTATCATAATGATGTAATAAGAAACAGAGGTATTATTTCGATTCATATTTTACTGGTCCGATTGGGTTTGAAATGCTTTTGGGTTTACTTGCATTCATGGCTGATGTCCCAGTCAAAGCATTTGTCTGTCTGCTGTGCAGATAGCTGGGTGCAGATCTGTAATGTCAGAGGGATTCACATTAGCAGAGAACAAAAGATTAAAAGGTCCCACTTTATATTAAGTGGCCTTAACTACTACATACTTACATCAAAAAATAAGTACAATGTACTTATTGTGTTCATATTGTATTGCAAAATACGTCTGCTGCTATTGAGGTGGGATATGGGTAAGGTTAGGGACAGGTTTGGTGGTATGGTCAGGTTTAAGGGTGGGTTAAGGTGTAAGGGATGGGTCAACAGTGTATATAATTGTAATTACAGAAATTAATTACATACGTAATTACATGCTGGTATTTTTTTTAAATATAAGTACAGTGTAAAAACATTTATGTACACAATAAGTGCATTGTACCAAATGATTCATTTAAATGTAAGTACATACTAGTTAAGGCCACTTAATATAAAGTGGGACTGATTAAAATTACATACTAAAAATATCTACTTTTGGGGTCAGTAGAAAGCAGTTTAGGAAGTTTACACAAAAAGTGGAAAAAAAGGTATTCTGACAGCTTTACATTGGTAAATTCTGTGTAGAGATGTAAAGCTGCATGACAGACCAGAATATTTGGGATCTCAGAGGTATATGGTTAAATGATGTGTTGCAACAAAACTTTTTGACTTGTTTTTTTCTACAATGAAGCAGATGAATAAAGAGTACATGTTTATCACAAATGCAAACAGCATCATCAGATTCCACACACAAAATACCACTGGCAATATATAAAGTAAAAACACAATGGAAATTTTTATTAAAATGGCAGGTTCATTTATATAGCACATTTCATGCACAATGGTAATGGTCAAAGTACTTTGCATAAAATATTAATAAAATAATAGTAATAATAAAATAATAAAATAATCATAACAGGTTTTTAAGAAATAACAATGAAAAGTAAAAAATAAAATAAAATAAAAATTGGAAAAAAACGTTTTTGGCCAAAAATGTATTGAAATCAAATATGAAGAAAATAGAAGAATACATAAATAAGATGATACAGTCAGTAGGACACAGCATATATTAATAATTGTAATATTGTATTAAATATTTTATATATTATATTATAAATATACTAAATATGTTATTTATATATATTATATTATAAATATACTATATATGTTATTATAAATAATACATTGATTAATATTAGATTTATCTATGCATATTTGGAACATCTGCTTTTTTGATGTCTGTTAAAGAATGAAATAAAATAAAATGCTGGAAAAATGTTGGTTAAAAATATTAAAGTTACTAAAATAGTTTAGTATAAAGCAAAAAAAAAAAAAGATTAAAGCTTAAGCAAATGTGTATCTATCTATCTATATATATATTTATAGAACATAGACTAAAAACATGGAAACTAAGGAGGCATAGGAAATTTCTCAAGGTCAAGGAACAAAAACTTCAGATCAGTAGATCAATATCAAGTAACCTCCTCGCATTCTAAACAAACGTAGAGAAACTAACCCTCGTCTCAATGTCATGAGCAGAACTTGTCTGAAGTAATCTTCTGGCATGCTCAAAAATTTTAAAAATTAACCCTGTGTCATAAACATGAGCCTGATTTTGCTCTTGTTGTTTTGGTAATTTAGGGGTAGTCTAAACAAAATTGCTTTTTCTAGGCAACTATGAAAGGGGTCAGAAGGTAAAGTCCTCCTTTTGTTTTTTATGTAAATGTTTCTGTCACTGCAATGATGGCTCGCAGACCCCAGAGGTCAAGGGTCAGGCTGATGTTTATATGTCAGACATTGGGTTTCCAGGGTAACAGACATTGTCTAAATACTAAATTAAAGGAGATGGAGAGCATGACCTATCATGACACACATTTGCTTTTCACAGGCTCTTATATTACTGACCCACAAGCTGTAGACTGATACTCTTTAGTTACATAAGATATTAAAACAATAAGATATTAAAACACATAAGATATTAAAACAGTGTTGATGATAAAACATTACCCTTTGACATGAGTCGGTAATTATGTGTGAAAAAATCCTTACCTGAAAGCATACTGTCACACTTAACAGAAGGGAATTTAAGGGTCATCTCATGTTTGTGTCTGTGAATAATTAGGTGATCTTCTCTTTGGAAGCGCTACGAGAACAAGAAACATGGCAGGCCGTGACAATGCTGAAAAAGCACAGCTCTTGGCATCTTTGAAATCACATATTTATTCCAAAATGAATAATAATATTTCAAAGGTAATTAATTATGAAGTGTTAATCAATTTAACAATCTAACTGATGGCTAAAACTTGTGACAGCACACATAAAACACATAGTTGTAGCTCTGAATGATATGACAACGACTATCCGTAAACTGGACATCTGTTACTTACCTGTGAGCATCCAGGAGCAGTGCATACATATGACATGTCCTGATCAACATTCATCACTGAGATCTAAAAAACCTAAACATACATATACACACACACACATGCACACAGACATACAAACACATGCACACAAGGGAGATGACATTATAAAGTGCTCATGGCAAATAGACAACAAACAGATATAAATGACACCTATAGGCAAATATAGTGTCAAATACGAATGAATTATTTTAATTTCCCAGTCTTTTAGTTTTATCTATCTATCTATCTATCTATCTATCTATCGATAACTACAACATAAACCTTTATGCAAATAAAGAGATAGAGACAAATTGATGATAGATAGATAGATAGATAGATAGATAGATAGATCTATGACACCTAATTAGTGAAATATAGTTTTAACAACAGATAACCTATTTGAATATCTCTCAGTTCTCTATATGTTGCCCACATTTCCCTGTTTTGAGTTCTCTTCTGTGTTCCCTGTATATGATACGTATTACATCATAATCGCGCCTTATAAAAAGACCCTACTCGCCCGGTCACTTATAACGCGAGCATTCCTCGAGTCATGACATCATCATTTAGTTCAGCCGGGACAGGAGTTTGAATTGGCAAGACGGGTCTACACTACAGTGCTAATGCCAACAGTCCAACCGGCCTGCAGAATGACGTAATGGCGAAACCGGAGGACTCACGCGGTGTCACGAATTTTACAAACCCAAACAACAAGATCAGACATCCTACCCAGGGGCAATAATGCGTCATATTTTGGCAAAGGAAGAAAAAAAACATCGTGAAGTTGTCTGAATCACTTTGGAGTATGCGTGACGGCAGATGTCATACAGGGTGTAGGCTATATGGGAAAAAAAACGATAAAACCAAAGCAAATGCAAATACTTTCTCCCTCAAAACACGCGCAGGTGTGCGATATGACATTTAAACATAGCCTATGTAAAATTCAAATAGACTTTAAACCGCTACCTGTCAAACTGCTATTCCGCTTGAACGCGTTGTTGACAAATTTGTTGACAATCTTCACTAAAAATGTACAGACATACATTTTATAGAGAGTCGTAACCTTTTTTATTCTAATACTTATTTTATCTGTTTGTTTGGTGGAGTCACACCCCCTTAAACAGACATTCAGACAGTTTACGAACATTTCAATGGAAACCGGCTTACTTGACAGTAAAACTATAACAACAGCAACAAAAATCCCAATAACACTGTACAAGACACACGTTCAGTTTGTGTATTGAACTAAGTGTGAAACTATATTCACAAGCGCAAGTGTAAAACAGTAATACTAACTTACCTAAACGCACGCAGACTGAGGCTAGCGACGCTCCTCGCGCTGGGACGAAGCACGCTGAAGTGAAACGCGATTACAATATGATCTATTTACAGAAGCATTACATCACCTCGCGGTGACGTCACGTGGGATTCCTGAACTTCTAAATCATTGTGGTCCGCTTTTTAAAAAGAGGAGGGCTTTCAGACCGCGCGCACCCGCCCACCGGAGGATGTAGCGGGCGTCCAATGCGGACATTGGCGCGTTGAGGGGAAAATAAGGAAGAGGGAGGCGCCTCGCTCGGTGCGTGCTGCGCCAACAGCTGTCTGGAGCGGTGCGCGGGACGGTCCCGGTTAGCGAATGGTGTGTGATGATAGAGAGAAGAGAGAAAAAGGGCATGTACAAGCGTGTTAGCCTTTGGTTTCAAATGTTTAATTACCTTCCTGTTTGCTTTTTTTAGGTGGTCAACGATATAATCTGCATGCCTTTTCCTTCTTTTTCTATATGGTTACAATGTAACTGGAAAATAAAGTCAGAGTCAAAAATGAGAGATTATGTACTGTGAATCAGACAGTTATTTATTCAAAACTGGGCTCTGGGGGTATTTTAATACAATAATGATAGGCTAGCTATAACTTAAATATTATATATCCAAAATATGGTAGTTGTATCTGTATCAAGACATTATAGAGCTTTGACATAGATGTCAACTTTTAGAAGGGCAAATTAAACTAAACAGCTCTTATGCGACTCTTTACACATATTGTCATTTTCAAAACAGTCTAAAATGTCATTTATCATTAAAACTGCATCAACTACACTTTTTAGAACCTAATAAACGTAAACATTATCTTTGGTTGGTGTGATGGAAATGTTCAAATGTCAGTGTGATGGATTCCAGTGCACTTTGCATAATCAAGGCAATGGATAGACTTTTTGTGTTTTCTAAGGAAATGATCCTAGTAAATAAATGTTTCTGACTTATGCTATAGTCAAAATGGCTGCCAGAATGCTTCATAAACAAAAATGTGAAGCCAAAAAAAAAAAAAACACCATCTGTCAGAGATGTTTTATATGATGACATTGACCATAAGGAGCAAAAACAGGTGCCAAGATTTTTAAGCTTTTCATTCAGTAAAGAATATATCTTGATAAGTTCCCTCACGACACGTTTCGAAGTTTAATGGTGTCTAATCACATTGTGTTAAACTACTGAAAACAGATGTCATGATTTCAAATATATGACAGAATGTGGATACATTCAGATTATTGTAAAACTAAGGGGTGTGTCTGATGTTCAGAACAGCGTGGTCCTTTTGTGGTAAGCACTAGGGAAAGAGTGAAAGAAAAAGGCAGAACAAGTGGGAGGGAGAGAAAGAGAGCGTGATTCATTAGTGTGCTCTAACTCAGAATGCTAGTAGCTGTTTCCTCAGCAACACCACAAAACAGGAAGTGATAATGATGTCACAACAAACTCCAGCCGTAGCTGACTCCTACCTCTATGAGTATGAATCATTCACACACAGAGACAATGCAGCAGAGGACATGCACCCACAAGTCTCATATGACATCTTCCATGTTTCCCCCATGATATAATTCACCTTAAAAAGGAACTGTCAAGTTCACCTTTTGTTTCACCATTTAAAGAAATTGGTGATTTTTGCTAATTAACAAAACATAAAAATATATATTTTTTTTACCGATTATCTCCATTGATCAGAGCATTCGGCACGGTCGTCAGTGAGTGACGTCACCTCCCAATACAAACACGCCCCCTAGTATAGTCCCGCCCCCTCGCATTGATTGGCAGCTTTCCATGTACATGCGCGAAGCAGCGAGAGTGAAAAAGCAGACGTGGTAATTAATATTGCTATTTAAATATGACAGGCTCATAACTCCTAAGACATGGGAAATACAGTTGCAAATGGACTTTGCTTTTTAATTTGAAATTTGGCAGTCACTGTAAGCGGTAATGCAGGATTTGCAATTGCATTTGGATTATGTCACAATTTATGCGTCCACATATGGAAAACGCAATTGAAAATACAATTTGCAATTCCTTTTGAAAATGGTCTGGAATATCGTTCCATAGGTGACAGTTAAGGGGCTAAAGTGTTAAGTGGAAAAGACAAGTTCAAAAACGCTTATAATAGCTGGATCTGGCAACTCTCTCAAGTCTCGTTCACTCTGCCAGCGTCTCGCAGCGATTATTTTCATAACAGGGACGCTAAACATTCTTGCAAACTGTCTAAACTTAATTATACATGTCATAGGCATTCATACGAGGAGTTCATAATGAGTTTAACAGCAAATTAGTCATTCAAGGAACAAATTTTATTTTTGAACATGAAAAATTTACCGAGGTCCAGACCTCGGTGGTCTCATAGCTGGTTACGGGCCTGGGTACGTCCCAAACAGTTCAATTCGTCTTTTTCAGTACAATTTGATTCTCTGGAATTGGTCGTAGCCTATATGTACTGCATTAGCACAAAATATAGTATTTCATGAGTAAATGTTTATGCAAGTCTATTTGTTTGAAAACAGCGCATGGAAAATATTTGGTCATTTAGTCTCTCACTTATTTACATAGGGAGATTTAACGGTTGATTAACAAGTGATGGTCAGCACACGGTCATTGTCACTGGCTGATCAAAGGGACATTCCTCCTGCTCTTTGTGAACACAGCGCCTTACATGGATGCTTGTGTCACACCTGACAGATTCCCAGTCTTGTCAAAGTTTTAAAGAGGTGGGAGGTCGACATTTTTCTTTAGTTAAAAAATTCCTTTCATAGGTCTAATATTACACATTATAAAGGAGTCGCATGACATTCTGCTATTGTGTAGTTGGATTCAAATATGCATGTTTACAAAGTATTTGTTTTAATTGTACGTTCTTTTTTACCGCTGAAAAAATGCGCTGAAAGAATCGAGATGGTGGTCATACATTTACATTAATCCAAAATCATATAGATCTGAGTGTTTAATGACATATTATGCTGCAAAAGTGGCAGTTGGATACATTCATATTTAAGCACATTTATGCCACCCCTGTACATACTACATATAGGCCTACACTCATATATATGTGTATATGTACACAGAGGTGGCATAATTACAATCACTAAACAAATCCTGTTGTTTTTACAATTTTATGTTCTAAATTAGGTCGTTTTGTGTCATGCTGCTAGTAAAATCAGTTTTATATTTTTACTGTCGAACAGGTGGTATAGAAAGACACATGATTAATCAAAGTTCATCACAACAGCTTTTCTACAAGCTGTGGTAAATACTAATTAGAAGGTACAAAATGTTGTGGCACAAATAAACATGAATTAAACAACATGAATTGTAATATAAAACTCTATAATTTAATACCATTAAATGCAAACTGTCACACAATGAATTCTGGGAATGTCTATTTACAGTATTTCACTGTAAATTATTAGATAGCTTGTTCTTTTTCACAAACTGTACTTTTAACAGAATTTTACAGTAAATTTACACAAAATATATTAGATCTACTACAGTTTTTCACTGTATTTATACACCATTAACCAATGAACAGGTCTTTAACAGTTAAAATTAAAAGCACTTTTTTTCTGAAATCATCTTTTATTTATTTTTTACAAAAATAAACAAAATGTTTTACAATTATATAAAAAAAATCTTAAAATACATATGAAATATATGCTCTTATAACAATGTACTCTACAGTAAAGTTAATTTACACATACAAACAACAACAAAGACGTGAAATTAAAGACCAATGCATTACTATTGCATAGTGTGAAAAGTTTTTTTTACAAAAGGACTTGGTTTATAAACACTTGGAAGAGTCACAGAGCCAGTAGCCTTTCTGTGGCAATAATGATCATTTTAGTGTTAGGTAAAAAGTTAATCGTTTTTGCATTCCCAGGCAGTGGGACTAATAAACCTAAACCTTTTAAAGCCTAGCTGGCAGGGTAGCAAAAGGTGCACTGAAATAATCAATAATAGAGTTGCTTATGTGGCCCTTCTCAGTCAAGCATTCCTCGTCTTTCATCTTTAATCTCAGGTGAACAGCAGCATGTTTGTTTCGCCGGTCCCTCCTCCTCCTGCTGCTCCTCCGTCATGCTGCTTTGCCCCCCATCCCCCTCCCATTGGCTGGCAGCCCTCTAAACAACTCCAGCTGCAATCACCGCCGCCGCTGCTGCTGCAACGAGCTGCCGGCTATTTGATCACCCCATCCCGCACAGCCTCTGCCTTCGCCGGTCTGCAAGCTCACGGACCTCTGCCAACACATCCATTATGACGGGCGTCGCGGCTGCCTCCTTCTTCTCCAACGTTTGCCGGTTTGGCGGTTGCGGGCTGCATTTCGAGTCCCTGGGCGAGCTCATCGTTCACATCGAAGATAACCACATCGGTGAGTGGCGCTCCGGTTTTGGCCTGCTGTCCCGCTAAACAGCCGCTCTCAAGCGGCGAGAAGGCGCGTCTCTGCGCCGCGCATTTGGCTGGGTTCTATGCAGTGACGCGCTAATTCACTTGTACGAACTCGCTGCAAATTTAATAGCATTAGCATTGACTTGGTTTAATTAAGAGGCGATAGATAGTCATAAGCAGGTTTCAGCGACGGGTGCACGGGTTCGTGCACGGTTACCAGACGCTGCTCTGTTTAGATCTAGGCCTGTATGTACTTATGGCAAGCCGTATTAACATGTATTGCTTGAAGAAACTAATACCTAATTTTGTTGTTAGCATTGTTAGTAGTTTTAGGTTAATGAATAAAGGTTGTCCAATAGTGACTAATATGAATAAAAATAATAATATTTTTTCAGTTTCTCTATATTACAGTATATATTCTAGTTCATGGCATTACAATGCAATGTACTACTAGTACTTATTCCAATAGAGAATGTTTAGTCATTACATAATAGCACATAGTTACTAATATCTGTTTCCGTGTTCAAGTACTAATTGAATAGACACTATTACATATTTATTAACACTGTATTCTTATAGAATAGTTGCTAGTAGTAGTGGAATACATACCAGAAACAAATGGAATACATATGAATATTGAATATTTGAATAAATGGAATATGAACATTTAACCACAGATTCTCATTGAATTCAATGGCAATGTTTTGGCATTTGTTACCAGTATCAGTCACCATATGGATTATTAGTAACAACAAGT